AGGTAAAACAAAGAAGTGGCTCTCCTTCTCCCTTCCCCTTAATTAATGAAGAAATGCAAGTAAGGGAGGAAGACATTTTCCACACTCTCATGTTCCTCCCCTCCAAATACACTAATCCAAACACATTATAAGAAATAAAGAAAGTTACTCTCTGCAATATACGATATACTAAAAAAAATAGAGTAATTGGACTAAATTTGGAAAAAAAAATGTAAATATATTAAATAAAAACTCCGAGTAGAACACAACGATTAACGTTCCAAGTTGTATTATTCTTTAGCAGCTTCAAAGCAACCAGCGTTTGTAGTCCAACGGTTAGGATAATTGCCTTCCAAGCAATAGACCCGGGTTCGACTCCCGGCAAACGCAATTTATTCATAAATTTTTAAATTTTTAGGGCTCAATTTCTAATGGCAAAGAAGTTTGAGGTCTCATCGCAATCAGAGTTCTTCATCTTCATCTGCCCAATTATTGTCCGATTAACACAAATTTTTTTCACTTCCGATAAACGCTTTGATCATATCAATATGAAGAATAAACTGAATACAATTTGTTTCCTTTTTTAATATTGCATCTATGCAAAGATGAATATTTCATAAAAAAATAAAAAAATGAAATGATCAAATATCTATACAGTTTACAGTTTATCTTCCTCATCTGGGTTGTGGCACTGGCAATTTCTGGTCGAAAGATGATTTCGGCGGTGGCGGTGGCAAGGAACTGGAGCCGAAATCAGTTGTGGTTGAAGCAGAGGAACACACAGTCACGTAAACGGTGCAGGGTAGGGATTATGGTAACTCCAGCAGCGGCTCATTCGGGTTCATGAATATCTGCAACAATTTGCCGACTTCGGACGGTGAGTAGAGTCCGGATGCAGGCATGCCAGACCCACCGTCAAGCTCCTCTTCATCTGTTCTTCGTCGAATTTGCCTTCGAGCAGACGGTCACGCAATCCAGTAAGGCGTTTTCCCCGTATAAATTCTAGACACTGTCGACCAGACTGTTTTCGTCCATGATACCCTTTGATCGTTTCCCAAAGAAAACTTCAAGGACTACCATTCTGAAACTGTGCACGTCGGCTTCCGGTGAGGCTTTCCAGGCGAAACCCACTTCCGGGGCCAAGTATCCGAGAGTTCCAGCAAGCATGGTGGTTACACGTTGTTTTGGAGCAGTCTCGCCAGCCCGAAATCACCCAGATGAGCATTGAAGTGAGCATCAAGCATTACATTGTTGGGCTTGACGTCTCTGTGAACTACAGGACTGCCACATTCTCATGGAAATAGAGCAATGCTGATGCCAACCCTGTTAGAATCTTGTATCTTGTTTCCCAATCCAGAGGGCGTTTTCCGATTTATTGATCAAGGCTACCATTAGGCATGTATTCATAAACTAAGAGGAGGTTTCTGCCTTCGTGGCACCATCCTTGCAGCTGCACTATGTTCTTGTGCCTTAGGCGGCCTATGGTACAAATCTCTGCGAAGTCTCCGTTTCACCTGATTGATGAATTAACAGAATGAGAAATTTTGGGAAGAATCTCTAGAAATCAATGCAGTTCAAGTAGAAACAGACCTTGCTTTCAGGTTGCAGAAATCCTTTTGACAGCTATAGTTGAAGGGGGATCAGATAAGGTCCCTTGTATACACTTCCAAAGCCTCCCGTCCCCAACATGTTTCCCTTGCTGAACCTGTTGGTGGCTTTTCATAGCTGTTTATGGCTGAACATTTGAGGAACATTTGCAGCAGTTCTTGATCTACTTTCAATATCTGCTTTCTTTCTAACCATTTCCTTCTTCCTCATAGCTTTTAAAAATAATGAGGATGAGAAGAACATCAATCCTATGATGATGGGAATAACAATCATCAAAAAGGTTTTAATCGTACCGTTGTTGGAGTTGAGATGGGATAATGGTGTCGTGGTGAAAATCCAGTCAATGACCTGATGGCTCTCTGCTGTGGCTTTCCCTGTTGAGGCTGTGAAGCCAACATAAACTGAGCTTGGAATCAAGTCTGACATGTCTATAGATTGGTTAAGAATGCTCTGAAGTGGCTTTCCAGAGTAAGCTGCATAGATTTGAAGCTTCTTTTTAAAACCATTGTAATAGATTTTAACCTGAATTTCTATTCCACTTTTAGGGTCAATTCCAGTGTAGTTGAGACTTCTGGCTGCAACAGGGTTACTGATACTTGTTGTATCAAGACCAATATGGTTTGCATCTGAATCTCACTCGTTCTTGTATGTATCTAGCTCTATGGCTAATTGCCTAACAACGCCACCTACATTTTGCAGGAAAGTATCATTAATTTGGGTTTTCTGGAATAACCTGAGCATTGAGCAAGTTTATTGTACTTTCTGAGCAGATTTTCTATATTCACCTACCTTCAGTTGATGGATCCATGATGCCAAGGTATGATCCAGTGCTGGAAGGCGGTGATGTGAGGTTATCTTGTGCAAAAATGAATTGTCATTCCATCTCCACAGACAGTAGAATTTGGAAAGGGAGAAATTCTGACAGTGAAAGTTGTAGAGATGATAGCTGGCCACGCAAGGACAGGTTGGTAGAAAAGAACCCTGCCAATTTCATCTGATGTTGAATTGCTACTACCTGGCTCTGAGGTAAGGCTTAGATAGCCATTTCCTGCCTTCACCAAGCCCATACAGATCAGATTGCCATTGATACAACTGTTAGGATCAAAGTAGGAAAAGAGAAATTCTGAAGATGGATAACATTGTTCAAAGATGCTTGGCTTAGGAAGAGGTAGAGGAATAGTGGCATAAGCATAGTTCTAGAAGAGAATTTAGAATGCAGAACAATATCCAGCCTTTGTTGCATACAGTACATATATACATGTGTAAAGAAATTATGCAGAACTGAAGCCAATGTAGTTTTTAATTCTTGAAAGGGAAGATATTTTTTCTGGAGAAGTTTTGGTTAATCTGTCATCTATATATATCCATTCTTTTGTATGCGTTATGGCAGCTGTATTCCAGAAGTAAATGGACTTAAAGGCCAAGAAATGCAAGTCACTATCTTCTTAGCTTAGCTCTTACAAAAATATAATGGACAAAGTCCCATTCAACATGGATGGCATGTTTGTTCTCTGCAAAAATCTCAAAGGTCGGTCAATCTTAGAAAAATAAAAATCCAACCTTCGGTGCTTTCCAAAAATTCTCCCATTAATGTTGAGATGGTTTTCTTGGCAATTAAGATTAGAACAGCATTTGCCCGTGTGGACATGATGAGGAACTTACCTTACTCTAAAAAATGGTAGGAGCGCTTAATTCCATACCAGGAGTGCCAAAATGATTTAGGCTTTGATAATCATACAAAATAGAGCCCCAATGTTCACTGAATTGAACTTTTTAGTTGATAAAATTTGAGAGAAAGGACCTTAACAGGTAAAAGTAGGAGTAAAAAGGAAAAGGCAGTATCTCAACATACTTATGAAAATGGAACAATTTTTATATCTGCTAATAGAAGCCTTAGATTCTGAACTCACAAGGTAAAAATCTATTATTTCTACAAGGTAAAAACTGCTGCTTTCAATGGCTTCCAATAGCTGCAATATTAAGCACTAGAGACATTATAGGAAAACAACATTAGAGAGGAAATCTGAAGTTCATTAAAACAATATATCATTGGAACAGTTCTATGGATCTTTGTATGACAACAAACCCCATTAACAATGAAACAATGGGGTAAGAGCAAAGGGAAAACTTCCATAGGGTCTTATTTTTGAAAATAAAAGATGCATAACATGACAGATTATGTAAAAATGCTGGCATTTGGCTTCCTCAGGTGAATTTATTCCCGGCGTTCATACTTCCTGGCCCAAATGTGTTTGCCATTGATCCGAAATTTTGCCATGCGCCTTCCACATAGGATCTGATCAACAGTTGTGATAGAAAGAAGAACCAGCCTAGCAAACAAGGGCTGTCCATTGGAGGAGGCATTCTCCTGCATCTGGACACTTTGAACACATTCACCATACATCTTGGTAAAAAGCTCCCTCACTTCATCTTCTGTCACTGGAAATCCCCGCGAGAATGTCAGGAACATGGTCCTATCATCCTCTGTAGCATTGTTGGTGGAATGCCAACCCCATAGTCCTCCAGGAGGAAAATCATTGCTTATGGCCCTAGGCATAATGGCAACAGCACCAAACAAAGGATGAGGAAAACCAGGAACATTAAGAGGGCTGTTAGGAATCACCTGTGATGGGCTCCCTAGCACACGCTGCAAGATATCAGTGAAAATGCGAGCACAGACAGTGTTGAGAAAATTTTTTATCCCACTTATTGCAGTGAATTTGTTCTGGTTGAACACATGCAAAGTGATTTCCTTTTCCATGACTCTTGCATGGAGAGGGAGGCCACCATTAGGAGGGATGGAAGGGTTGGTGGATCCTAGGACACTCAAACATGCAGCAGCCTCATCAGCTAGTGCATCCACCAGAGGATCTGATAGCCTCACCATTTTCACTATTATGTTGGGATAGCCCCTATCTTCTAGCCACAGCCATGTTGCCATGACTAGCAGAGATTCAGCTATATCTCTCTGAAAAGTTAATACCAACCGGGAGAATATATCACGATCAATGGCATGAAAAGTATGGAGCTCCTCAAGAGTAATTGACTCCATCTTGACTTAAAATTTGTGGACAGATGTGCACAAGAGGGTTGGGATGGCAGGCTAACAAGTAGTGATATATAGTCTAACAAGTTTTATGATATGGCAAGTTTACGTCATACTGATATAACTGAGGGGCTGGATATGACCTAGAACTGCTATATTAGAATTCTCCATTTTTGAGGATGTTTTAACTCTCCATTTCTTGCTTCCCATGAAACTTCTCCACGCGCGCTTATAGAGAGGTGGGAATCCTACTTCTGCCCTCTACAGGAAAATATAGTAAGCAAGACCTGAGCTTGTTGGCACTGTTCTATACTTGCTAAATATTTCTTCTTTCATTTCACTCCCAATTAATGCAATAAATGCTGAAAGCTACACATTAAGAAATTGACATTTAAGAGAGCCATAGTTCTACAGAGCTTCATTTTCAATAAAATGCCACACTGTTCTTTGATGTCCTATTATGCAGCACATCTTATTAACTTGAAACTTGTGACAGTACTTGATTGGCACAAGCTTTATATTGTAACACAGGCACCTATGATGTATACCAGTTTGAGAAGTCAGCATTGTGCAAGACTACTACAATGACTTAATTGAGTAATACTGCTTGGAGATAATTTTGGAAAGGAACTGTGACTAATTTTTGTCACTTTCATTGTTCTGCTGTAGTTCACTGTCCTCAATGAAAGGATTAGATCCTTTTTGCAGCTCTCTAAGGGTCTTTTAGCATTTCAGGATGCAGTTCAAATGCCCTTTGATGGTACTGACTGCATTTATTCCCCTAGTTAAATGGATATTGTATTTACTCCCTGCATTACTCTCTTCCATTACAGCTGCATTATGATAAATCTGTGGTTTGTTCAATTAGTGTGAAGTAAATTGAATAATAAGTATGCCATGGCATTTAAATACTTTTATTTCCTCTTTGGCACACCTTCTGATATTGTTCATATGCTTATCCACCGTTAAGTCATGATTATATTTGCTATTCTGGAAGTGGAAAGTTTATTTTTTTGCCTTTTCAGACCCTAAAACCGTCTTGAAGTACTTTATCAAGAGTAATGGATAGAGCTGCAGTCCTGATTTATTGAAAATGTGTATAAATAGAAGAGAAGTGGTAACACTAGGACTTAGGAGCTCCTGATTTATTTAGTATTGAAATTCTAGTGTGTCTAGATTCTTCTATGCATTTTCTTTTGAAATATGATCTTTTTCAATTTGTTAAAAAAGGGACATTAGGCATAGTAGTGCTTCTGGCAGTGGGCACATTTTCCCTGGCACCAAAAAGTTTGTGTTCTTTTGATCCATCACAATGTTCTTGCAGCCTATCCCAACTGCAGTCCAATGTGATTGCTTGCTCTTCATCAGAAGTTCCTCCTATGCCACTGTATGCCGTACCACTACTGCCAATGTCTGCTTCATTGTCAAAAATTGAGTTTATAAGCATCCAAGAAGCAGAAAATTGTCTGGCTTAATTTGACAAATAGATTTATAATAGTTACCTGATTAGTGCAATTGTGGTTGCCTTGATTGAGTAGAAGTGTCTACTGTCTTAAGAATTTTCAGCTTGATACACTTTTACCAGCCACATCTTGATTCTTGATTCATTCTAAAGTTTTATTGAAGGTGCAATGCTGCACATGCACCTCTTCCACCCTCTTCCTTTCCCCATTTTCTACCAGACTTCCAACGCTGCAAACGATCTCCATTCAGGTACAGATAAATTGTGAGTTTTCTTTTGCAAGAAAAAGATTATTGCAGTTGTGGAAATAAAAAGCATGCAACATATCTAGTTAGACCTCTCCAAGTATTTTTCAGCTACTTGAAAGAAGAAGAATGATTTTACCTTGACAGTACTTTTTTCGTACCCTGTTAATCAGTAACTTTAGGGTGCTAAGTGATCAAAATTGAAAATTGAATAGATGCAAAATGCCTTAAATTGCCCGACCAGGTACAGCCCTGGTCATTAGTGTTCTTGTTCCATCTAACACCATACCATCCACAGTGTTGAAGGTTGAACCTAGCATATTCAATTTGTGTCACCTATGCCTTAAAAACACATAATAAAAATATATTAATTATGCTTTTTTTATCAATTAATTTGTATAAAAAAAATATAAGTTAACTTTAAATTTATTGAGCACCTAATTAAAATCATCCAAATAATATTGGTGTTAAAAATAATATCTTATTTTTATATTAACCTATAAAAATGTTTTACTCTTTCCATTCATTTTTTTTTTTTTGGTTTTCCGCCCGGTATCCGGGGTTTCGTCCGACTACTCAAGACTCGACCAGCTGTGCTTTCCATTCATTTTTAATAGCCATACTTTGATTCTTTGACTTTTTAACTTTTTAAATACAAATTTTAAATGAAAATTTAACACTTTAAATAAACAATAATTGAAAAAAACTTTTGTTTCTATGTTAAGTTTCATGGAGTATTTTTATTTGATAAAAAAATTTTAATTATCTATATTAAATTTTCATTTAAAATTAATATCTAAAAAATCAAAAAGTAAAATTATGACGGCTAAAAATGAGAGTATAAAATATTACAATTAATATACTTAACTTTCTTAACAAATTGTACGGCACAAAATAGAAAAATCCTTCATTGAAACTCAAATTCCCCTCAATTAATGACAACATTAATTTGAGGTCAAAAAGCTTCCTTAGAAAATTTAATTTTCTAAATCTAAATTAAGCATCATACTTAAGATTGGTTTAAGAATTAAAACATTACCAATCATGTAATATCAAATATTAGATTTGTTTGTGTCATTTTAGGCTGAATATCTAAACAAATTAATTTCTTTAAAGACATGAGGTCAACTTCAAAAGTGCACCTTTAAAATTACAAATTAATCACAAATACACAAAAATTGACATAAAACACTTTAACTGTAAATAAATAAATAAAACATCACTAATCATGTTTAGGTTCCGTTAAAATTAGCTGCACACGGCAGCTCTTGTTTTGTCTTGAGTTTTTCATTGCCTTTCGCTCAAAAATAATGGTTTGGAGCCACTGAAAATGATAATAGCACATTTTCAGAACTTGCTTTTATCAATGACAAAAATGTCATCTCCTAAGCTTCATTTAGTGATGATATATATCTGTTATCCTTCTTGTCTTTGGTACATTTCATTTAGGGATATTTTTATTGTTAATTGTTAATCTCAAATGCAGGGAGTACTGGAGGGGACTCTCCCTCCATTTTTAACAAATCATGTACAAGTTACGAGACTGGCTCCATGACCAAGACTTGTACAAGAAAAAAACAAATCAGGGATTCAGTTAAATTAATCCAACATAAGTAAAGTAACTAAAATTAAAAATTTCCAGGAAGAAACCTACATTTTGAATGCAAAATGTTAACACCTCCTAAAGAAATGAACATACCAGCAAATCAGGTTTATGGAGTTACAAAGCAAACTGATCCCACAGATAGTATCATATGGAACTCTATATAAGTTGCTAAACGAAAGATATGCCCTTAGAGGGAAAATTTCCCAACTCCAGCAGCTAAATCACAGTATCACACTCTTTTAAAGCTACAATACTCATAAGCAATAGTGTAAACCACATCGGCATCTGGCTTCTCACGAAACATCTAACTTAACCATTGCCAATTAATTTCGGCACCAATACACCAAGGGATGGCAGCATTATAGGAACAAACTGCTGATTCAGCCCTTGAACCAACCTCCATTACGAGGGCACTGCATAAAACAAACAAATGAACATAAGTTATGATAATGCCAAAAAAAAAAAAAAATGAAGTTATGAGGATAAAAATGTTTAATTTCCCAGCTAGACACACCCTTGTGAGGTTTCAAGTAATGACAAAAAGAAAGTCAGGCACCAATTTAGCTTTTGAGTAAGAGCCCTTATGATGTTTAATGATATGTAGAATGAGTCATGCTAGAGTAAATACAATGAAAACATAGACATACTATATGTAGATGTATCAATCTGCTCAGGAAGCTCCTTAATATCCACCTCAAACCTCTCCTGGACCTGAAGTGAGTTAACCAAAACATTAGAAGTGATAGGTCATATAATGCAAGAAAACAACATATATAGAATGTAAATTCCAAACCTGATTCAGAACATCAGAATCTGAAGCAGAGGAAACAAATGTAATTGCTAGACCCTTGGTGCCAAACCTGCCGGCTCTACCAACCTGCCAAAAGGATTAATAAGAAGAAACAGCAGTCAGATAGCACATAATGCCCAAAGTAGATCAAAGTGTATAAATTCAACTAAGACTAAACCTACCCTGTGTAGGTAGGTGTCTGCAGAATCAGGCATATCATAGTTGATTACAATGTTAACCCGTTCAATGTCAATTCCCCTGCCAACCAAGTCTGTGGCCACCAGAATTCTCTTATGCCCTTCCTTGAAACCCTTGTAGCGAGTCAACCTATGACAACATCAGTCAATAAAAGTGTCAGTTTGGGTGGTAAGTCAAGCAAAGCATACTTAAGATGGTATGAAAGCAACTATTTCTCAAAAAGTAAACAAAAAACGCAGATCTGTTGAATCATAAACCAAATGGCCTAACTTTGCAATCAGAATGTAATAATAACAAGAGATACAGCTAACAGAATCCAGATAACATAATAACATTTTTATACTCTGTAACATATTCAAAACAGACTTCAACTCAACCATAAATACTTTGGCAAGCTTCCCCATCCAAGATACCATCCAGAAACAAGTCAATAATTAAATAACTTAATTTACATGTAGAGATAAGATAATCCAGAGAAATAGATTAATTTGACAAAAAGAACCACGTGGAAAATATAAAAGATCACTCTCTGCTATAGGAAAAACGTGTGTGCACCTCTCTTCCTGGGACATGCCAGAATGTATGCAAATTGAAGGAAAATTGCACTCCACAAGTAACTTGTTTAACTCAGCTGCCCGGTTCACACTTTTGACAAAAATAACAACTTGGTTGAAGTCCAATGCATCAAGAAGATCATTCAACTTTCGATTTTTCTCCATCTCACTCAATTTGATGTAGTGCTGCCATTTGAATTGATAAGATAAGTTAGATATCAAATAATTTACCCCAGGAAGGAGGTGAATGGAGAGACCAGAGTCAGCTTCTATGGACATACCTGTACTAACCCATGAAGGGTTAACTTGGCCTCGTCATCAACATAAATTTCCATTGGCTGAAAGGAACAAATGTCAGAGTAAATCAAATTAGGTGCCTTACTCATGGTATGGGAATCCAGTACGAAATGAATGATGGATGCACATCCCTCGATTGAGATTCTGGTCCATCCACTTTGCCTCCTTGCAGATACATTAGTCACAGCAACCAAGTCCTATACTCCTACTCCCACACACGAAATTCTATTACATGACAAGGTGGCCCCAACAAGAAAATCCCCCACACTTCTTAGTACCCCAACTTCAAGCCCACACCAAGTACCTAAATAAAAAATCTAAAAACATAAGGGAGGGGGACAAGATGACAGTCATCCACCTTTCCAGAACCACCTAAATCTTTGAGACCCATAAACTCACCATTAACCTCCCCCCATCAAATTGCATAACCCATAAATGAATAGCTGAAGCCACTGCATCCAGGCAACACCAGTGCAAGCATACAGCGATCGACCCACCAGACTCTAAAATTCTACAAGAATCTTGGAAGTTTGGAATTTATAAAAAAAGACGTCTAAATTGAAGTAATAGTGGCCATGGAACATTACATCTTGCATAAATTTCTTGCAAACCGGTCGGATTTCTTTGCTGAGGGTGGCAGAAAACATCATAACTTGCTTGTCGTGAGGAGTCCTCTTGAAGATCTCTTGGACATCTCTCCTCATGTCTGGCAAAAGCATAACTCAAATAATGAATAAATGCTAGAGCAGAACAGAAAAGGAAACTTCAAGGTAGATAGAGCATACCAAGTGATTCAAGCATCTTGTCACATTCATCAAGAATAAAATGCCTAACATTCTTCAACGAAAGGTCATCATCTCTAGCCAGAGCAAGAATTCTTCCAGGTGTTCCAACAACTATGTGAGGGCACTCATTTTTCAATAGATCTTTGTGAATTTTGGCATTCACCCCACCGTAGAAGACAGCAACTTTTATATCAGGGAGGTAAGTGCTGAACCTCTCAAACTCGTGGCAGATCTATAGAATAAGTGGATAACAAAGATCAATTAGCAGAAGCACAAAAAGGAAAAACTTATGACCAGAAGCTTTAACGGGAATTTTGAAAACATCTTAATACCTGGTAAGCCAATTCCCTTGTATGACACAGAACAAGTGCAACAACTTGCCCTGGACTTGGTTCAATCTGCTGTAGCGTTGAAAGAACAAAAACTGCAGTCTTACCCATTCCAGATTTAGCTTGGCAAATGACATCCATACCCAGTATAGCTTGTGGAATGCACTCATGTTGCACTGATGAAGAACCAAACAAAATTGTATCGAAGGAACCCTTCATGAGTAAATTATAACTTCCAGATCCTCTTAATTGAAACTTTTACCAAACCATAATAGTGCTCCAAAATCAACAAGTTTATGGGGCTGTATAATATTACCTGAAAAAGACATCAAACAAGATTTCAGGTAAAGAGAGATATGGAATAACCAAAACAAAAACAATCCCAGAATAATAGTTAATAGACAAAGGACCAACATAACCATCTACAAAAAAACAAAAACTTAAAATTTTCTTTCAAACGAAGACTCATACAACACCACATGAGATCTAAAGATGCAGGTCAACTATGATAAAAAAAAAAAAAGGGACGACTTAGGTCTAAAGATGCAAGTCAACCATGATTAAAAAATAAGAGGATTTAGGTGATTCGATAATTTGCCTTCAGAAGGATGCTCAAATCCAGAGTCAACAATTGCACGAAGAAGTTCTGGCTTCAAAAGGAAGTCTCTGAATCCTGAACTGTGTATTCCAACATAACCCCTAAAAAGCAAAAAGATAAAAACTTCGTTACAACTTCATTACACCAATAAATTTCTAATGGAAAACAAATACTGTTATAACAAACAAACAAACCTAGAAAGTCACACACCACGCACAAATTTAACAACACAAATTCTCTTAAACAGGACAAATTGACAGTCAATATCAACAAAGAGTCTCTTTTTACTCCTCACAAGAAACCAAAACTTACTTCTTGGCTGCCTCGCCATTGACTTTGCCGGTGGCAGAGTCAGGGGCTTTTTCTTCTTCTTCCTCATAGTCGAGAAGCTCTTCCTCGTAGGCGTCGTTGTCCCTTGTTTCTCCCATTTTCTCCTGAATCACCAAAAAAAAAGGGTTAGAACTCTCAACAGATTTTCACCAAAGAAATTCCATAAAAAGCAAGGAGATTTACCAGTTAGAGATCCGGTGAGAGAAGAAGACGAGATTTCTAGGGTTAGGGTTTGTAGAGTCTGCAAAGGAAAAACGTTAGACCTGTAAAATTAGAGAGATTTCGACACTGTAGAGTCCGCGAAGTACTGAGGAGAGAGAAAGCGGGATAGGGTTTGGAGCGTTTCGGAAGAGGAAATATAAACAGAAAAACTTGATTGTGGTGCCAAAAATACCCCTACTGTTTTTTCACTATTTACGAGATTGTCTTCCGTTTTGCACACTCAATTTATTCAGCCCATTCAAGCCCAATCTACAAAATTTAGCCCATTCTATGAAACCCAACCTCGCTATCTAAGGTTGGAGCCCAATGTACTAAATTCAGCCCGTTCTAGCTCCGATCTACCAATTTAGCCCATTCCATTAAACCCAACCTATCTATATCTATCCAACATTTTGAGCCCAATGTACTAAATTCAGCACATTCCAGCTCCAATCTACGAATTTAGCCCATCCCAGACCAATCTAAGGGTATGTTTGGTTATCATGTTGCTTGGAAAAGGAATTTGGGATAGTCAACCAAAATGGAGCTGGAGTTTCACTTAGAAAAATAAATTTCTTAACATAAAAATTGAGGTGCAATGTAAATATCTAATTGGTCATGGAAAAAAAGATAATGCATTATTGCACTTGGGCTTTCGGTTCAGTAACGTTAGATCACATACAAGTGCATTCTTTCTCTCTAAGGCAACAGTTCAATTCTGACCCTTACAAATTTGTTCAAAAAAAAAAAAAAAGAAAAGATAATGCATTATTTTTGCAATATAATTAATTACCTAGAGAAATAAGTGACTATACCAAATTTTAGCCCAGTCCATCTTTTCTGCCGAACTTAGCCATCCCATCAAATCAAAACCCAAGCTACTCAGGAAACAAACAATTCATTTATGGCCAACCGTTACAGAGTTTGCCTAATTCTGTTCTCCATTACCTCCCATGGCTTCTGCTTCATGTTCAGTTCATTTACTTCCCTCTAAAACCAGACAAACGCGTAGTAATTTTTTTCATTTTTCTGTCACAAAAGCAGCACTTCTTCAAATTAGACTGCTATTTTCCTATCTTAACTATGTTTTCCCATGTAGCTTATGTTGCTTGTAAAATTATGTGTAGGAACAAATGATTCCGGTTCCAAAATTCAGAAGACTTTCTGGAACACTGATGTGCTACAGCACTCCTCTGTCCCCAAGCTAATCTCCATGAAATCGAAGGTTAGAATTTGCAATTAGGATGGAATTAGATTGTTCTTTGATCATAATCTATATGTAGAAATGCTCAGAAGAAAAACCCATAGTCATAAAGCTTGTTTTGCTTGGTAACAGGCTGCACCACATGACCGGAACACAAAACCAAACAGTGTGATTTGTGGTGATTGTGATGGAAATGGTAAGCAAACTCTATCCTTTTGTATCCAAAGTGGGGTTTAAATTCTAATAGAAAGGGTTTTCTCTTTTTTTGGGTAGGGGCTGTTCTTTGCTCTCAATGCAAAGGTAGTGGAGTGAACTCTGTTGATCTATTTGATGGACAGTTTAAAGCCGGTGATTCATGTTGGCTTTGCGGGTAATGAACCATTGATAAAGTCTAGCTCAGTGTTTAGACTCATGATTTTCTCCCTGAATAAGTTCTCTTGCAGGGGAAAGAAGGAGATGTTATGTGGGAATTGTAACGGAGCTGGGTTCATAGGTGGTTTCATGAGCACTTGGGATCAGTAGAAGTGCCTTCATGTATATTGAAGCTTCAAAATACTACCATATTTGTTGAAGAACAAAAAGCTCATCAGGTCATCGACTTTCCATGGTGAAAAACCAATTGGATTTGAATTTTATTGGGGTTTTTATAGTGAAAATTTTGCTAAATTCATATATATTAGATATCTTTAACTAGTAGCATGAATATGATGTCCGTGGTACCATGCTTAGATGCTAACAACTTTTCATGAACTCACTCATCTGCTGTTGTAGCAAAAGAGTTGCCTCAGATTCTGGGTAAAAGACATGAAACACGTGAGACTCACCCTCAGCCTCAACAAGTTTCACCTTTTTCACTCCTTTCCTCTTTAAAAACCCTGCATACATCACTCCCCTTTCCTTCAAGAAATCCTGGCCAGCAACATAAACCTCCACTGCTGGAAACTCTTTCCATTCGGCTTCAGACACCTTCTGTATCTCAAAGTTACAACCATAGTAATCCCGATTAAACCCTTCAGGGATACTAAGTCTCCAGAACATGTCATTAGAAGCAACATCACTTGCTGCCTGATCAGCCTTCTCTCTTTCAGTCCTTTCCTCACTGCCAAAGTAAGGATGTATAGGTAATAATCGTTTAATCTTAAGCCTCAAGGCTCTGTCCCTCATTGCTTTAATAGCAACTTGATGCACAATGTTCCCTCCAGCACTGTCTCCGGAGAGAAACACCCGAGAAAGATCAGCTTCCCGGAGAAAAGATTCATTTCCCACTTGGTGACTTAGCCATTCAAGTGAGCTATAACAGTCCTCGTAAGCTATTGGGAGGCGATTCTCAGGTGCCAAACGGTAGTCAATGGAGAGGACAATGGATTGGGATGCCACAGAGAAGCCTCCTAGGAAACAATGGTAGCCAAGCCATGTGGTGGAGCCAATGCAGAAGCCACCTCCATGAAAATAAACCATAACCGGAAGCAGATTGCCTGAGTCAGTACTATGAGGGAGGAATATCCTTCCAGTTATGGGTTTTGATGGGTCAATTATGACATCTTTGGACTTGAATCCTCCAGGTGATGGTTCTGGTGAGGCAAAAACTATCTCAGGGGTAAAACGTTTCACAGAACCATCAGAAAAAACCTGGAGATAACCAGGAGCTTCTGCAATTACTGACATTGGTGGATGTGAATGATTTAGGCCCGCAGTTTGAAGAGCTTTTATGAGGCTACTTTCATAAGGATTGATGAATGTTGGGTTATTCATCTCAAGTGCGTTGGATTCTAACAATTCAGTATTGCTTTGTGTTGTTCCTATAAAATTCTTATTAGTTTTGGGGTAGATAGAAAGAGAAAGTTAGAGAACCAAAAGTTCACAGGGGAAATCTTCATGATGATTAGGACTAGGTAGGAAGATGTAGGATTATTGTTGAGCTACTAAAAAGAGAAGCCTACGTCGCGTCAGGTAGAGGTCGAACCTACGACTTTCTGCTTAGGAAACAGACGCTCTATCCAGTGAGCTACAGGAGCTGCCATGTCAAAGCTTTTTTCTTTTCAAGAACTAAATACATTCGTTACAGAAACTTTGATCAGCTACCCTAGCCATAGGAACACTGCAATCTGAAGGTCTGACTTTAACCAAACACAACAGACAGCATCAAGAAGGATGAAAATTCAAAAGTACATTCTTCCACTTTATAAAAATCCCTAATCTCTACAGGAAAAGGTCGTTAACCTCACTTGAGGATACAACAGCTAGGTCAGTATCTAACTTCAGCATGTGTATGAAATATATGGAAAACAACAAAGGGAAGAAAAAAGATAACAGAGTCAGTAACTCAGAGGAGGAAAGAGTGGTACATGTTCCTATTATTTGCTTGCCCTTCATCCCAAAGGAGGAGATGAAAACCCTACTTTGCTGCCTGTTCCAACACTTGAATTTTCTTCCATTCCCCCTCTAAGGAATTACTTTGCCAGGGTGGTAATGAGAACATGCTCACAGTAGAACTGCCACTCCGGATCTCCTTCAAGACACGTAATGCTGATGCAGTTAGCCTCATATACATGTTTTCCATACTCTCAATTTCTGCAAGTTCTTTGGGTCCACTGAGCAGCCCTTCCTTACTTGTGACAGAAGCTTTAGAGTCAGATTCTTTCTCATCAATTGCTTGTAAAGTTGATGGTTCATTCATGGAGAAAAGATGATCAAGCATCATCTCACACTCCTTGACAAGCTTGTTAAGCACATCAGTCTTGTAGAATGGTTGTTGCAAGACCTTCTGGATGAAGGGCAAGCGAATAAGAGCCCCACTTCGCTTGTCATATTTCTTTATGATCTTCACTAGTCCTGTCCAAAGCACAAAAAGATAAAGATATAATAACCATCATAAATAAAAAAAGAGGAAGGCAAGAGAATCACTCAGCTAACTAACGTTCAAAAGGATCCACTTGTTGCTGAGTCATTTCAAGCAACCTAAAAGAATGCATTATACCCCACCAATTTAAAAGTTTTAAGTCCCACCTTTGTCATTCTACTAAGGAACATGGAAAACCAAGAGATTTAAGTTACCAATGTTCTAGCTCCTTTAATGTGAACTAGGTAACATATTGAAAAAAGAAAAAAGTGCAACAGAAGAATCCTGATGGTGAAGAAAAACACAACAGAAGAATCCAACTCAGCCACATGTTAAGTTCATCATATATACATTGGACATACAAATTATGCACATTAAGTTACAACAAAGTTAGATGAATTTTGACCAGAAAAAAAAGTTAGATGAATCACCCCACAATTCATGAATACCAGATTAGAAAAATAGTGGAAAGGATTCATACTATGCATGTCAGCTTCAATTCAGTTTAGGCATCTCAAGTTGCAGAATTAGCTGAGGTAGACTCATCAAAACCTCTTCCTAACCACTAAGATACCATTATCTTTTATTAGACATCAAGCCCATTGCATCCACATTAAGAAGTAAGAACTGTATGCCATGGAAGTAGCATAGCATCAAAACCACAACTTATGAATAGGACCTATAATGTCATGAATTGCATTCTTAAACAAATGAAACTGAAGACAGCTAATGAAATCAGCAGATCAATCTTCAATCATAGATAACTAAAAACATGCTTATGAACAACCATAGAAAACAATCAGGTACCTGTATAATTAAGGGCACTGTAATTCTCCAATAAAACCATCTCTCCATGGAAATCTACTATCTCCCTCCCTACTGTCATCAACTCTACTTTCATTAACTCTTCATCTGAATCCTCTGCCTTTGCTACCTTATCCTGTAGCTCCTGTACTCCAGTCACACACAAGAAAAGATTTCAGTTTTCAGCAACAAATATGCATGGAAAAAGAAAAAAAGGAAAAAAAAAAAAAAAGGAGAGAGAGAGTGGAAACAACCAAGAAGTGAGTTAAATCTCTCCAAGGAACATCTCTAAACTCAAAACAGCAACCCGTAAAGTATAAAAATATATATTTATTTATTTTTGATGTTAAGAAAACTCTGTTCTCATTTTGAATGACCAACTTTCGTAATCATGGGAGCTATTCAGAGTCCGAAGGTTAACCACATCACATATATTCTGGCTAATATAATCTTAAATAACAGGATTCCAGAACTATGATGGTTCAATATGCTCCCATGCAGGCACTAAGTACCATCATAAGGCTAGCCCCCTATCGATAGCAAATGGCATCTTTAAGTCCTGAATTACCGTCTAACTGATCATTTTCTATGTTATTCCTTACCAGAAACACAAGTTATCATTTTTCTCAACAACTTTTCCTTTTCAAGATTTCTAGTTAAGATGATTCTCAACAAGATCACGATCATAGAAAACAAAAGCCCACAATTTCATCCCACGTACACAGAGTTTCTCATGTTATAACTCAAAATCAAATTATTTTGGTCAAACATGAATAAATAAAATAAACCCAAAATTTAATTCCTTGTACCTCACTTAACAAGTTAACCTATAAGTTAATTCAAGGTTTCCAAACAAAGAAACCAAAATTACACCCAATTGGCCAAATATTTCAACTCTTCACGTACCAGAGGAAATGAATATAAGGAGAATAAGGGAAAAGAAAGTACCTTCCACATGATAACATACAGCTCTTCTTTCTCAAGGAAAAAAGCATTGAACTTTTCAATCTCATCCTCCAACAACATCACAAAATCTATCACCTCTTTCGACACCTCACTCTCCTCTCTCGGACTGCAACCAGAATCATTACCACCGTCAGAAACACCCAACCTTGGCCGCTTACTGGGCGGCCTTTCCCCTCCGTCTTTCGGGTATATCAGCTTCAGCTGCTTCTTCAAATCCTTGTAAGACAAAAACTTGTCCCTCCAATCGGGTAACGTCTCCTCGATCAAAATACTCAGACTCTTCCAAAACTTCATGATCACCTAAACCCAACAAATAAGAACGGAATCGCGATGAGATTAGATGTCGCCGGCGATCAATCAACCAATTGAGATTTGTTTGTTAGCCGCAATGGATGGAGACGTAGGGATAAAGAAGAAAGAAATTGAGGATTATTTTTGGGAATATTCTTTTAGAAAGAACAAAGGAATATACTCCCCTGTTTCTCAGAAAAGAAATATATCCGCCGCAGGATTATTCCCGCTGAATAGGAATCGGAAAATAAACGTAAGGATGCAGTTAATGTCATAAAAAAAAAAAAAAAAGTGATTAATAAGATTTAAATAAAATTTATATCGTGAGAATATCTTAGCGATTTGGTCACCATTCTTTTATTAGTGTCTTTTCATTTAAGTTTA